GCGAATCACAGCTTAGAATTATTCGTCGATCATCACGTGATCGACACCGCCATTCGACACCACTAATCTACTTATAACTGCGCGACGTTATCACGCAAGACAGGAACGGAAACCTAAAAAAAGAAGATAGTTTATTATCATCATGACTGCTTTACCCTTCAACTGATTACTTTTTCATCAATCAAATCAATTAATATGGTATTGATTTTTGTTATCGATATACGATATATCCGTCAAGTAATTATCTAAGTGTACAATACTTGGTAAATGATGAAAAATAATGATTTCGGGGTTTATCAAAATCAATGTCACTCTCATGTACAACTACGAGTGACATTAACTCTGATAAAAGAAATTTTCTGTCATATAATTGTTGTTTTCACCTCTACAGTAAATAATTTTTTAAAAATTTGATTTTTTTAACAATAACAATTTACTTTATAATATACAAAATAATAGCATTTGATTCAAAAAAGAAAAATAACAATAATTATTTAATCAAAATATAAAGACATGCAAAAATTACTCGAGTCTAATTCAGAACATTTCAGAATGGTTCTCTTTACGAACATCATCCATCTCAGTATCATTAACACAGTTAAATAATTATGTCATATTGTTAACCGTTTTAAACAAAAAAAATCTAATTTTTCATGTCATTAACACTAAAATCACAAGTTCACATTAAATCTGTTGACAATTTTGGCATAGTCGCGTTTACGTGAAGATTGCAATAATATATAAAAGCTTAGTACTCAGTGGTCGGAAAAAGAACTAGAAAAATAATATGCAGCAAATTTTTCCGTATTTGAATTATTCAATTTAAGCAAATGCTATAAATAGCAAGATTATTGAAATATTATCACACCGATACGGTGGACAATCATTCGCAGAGTGAAAAATTTTTTCCGTATTTAAATTATTCAATTTAAGCAAATGCTATAAATAGCAAGATTATCGAAGTATTACACATCATTCGCAGAGTGAAAAATTATTTCCAGATCTTTTTTTGGAACGAGGTTACACCGCACTAACAAATCAATAATTAATAAATTAACAAATTAAGAATAATGAGCTATGTTTATATCGATATATGATTATCTTTTCTAATTAGAAAATTTAGTGCTACGTAGCATTAGACCTATTTACAAGTTTAGCGTGAACACCATGCACAAATAATTTTTTAAAGTTACATGCAATTAGGTCTACGATATATATGTAAACCCGGTCTATCTAGGGATGTCTTTTCTAGTTTCATATTGATAACAATCTCTGATATAAAAAGAAATCATCCTATTAGCATTCTCATTTTGATAAATTAAAATTTATATTATTTCGGGAAGAAATGCAGGTTTTGTAAGTCTATTCACTGAAACACTCTAACTTTCAGAATTTAAAATGGATAACGGATTAGTACAAGTCACTCTTGTACTTGGTAAGTTACCAATAGGTTTAAGCTTTATAATAATGCCTTATAATTTAACTAATTTGAAAATTAATTAATGACTTTTCAAGAAAGTCTTGGAAATTAAAAAACTTTGCCTTCATGAAAATTCAGTCTAATAGTTTAGATTAATAAAAAAAAATTCCAACCACTTGACCGAAATTTCGAATACAAAACGGCAAACCAACTTTGTGTGGCCTAATATTAGGTAGTAAGTAAAGTAGTACAGCACAGTAACGCAAGTTATTACGAATGCATATAAATTTTGATAGTATGTACGCTTATACAATATAAATTTTTTCGTTCAAGTACGCTGAACATTTTATGCGTACATACTTCTATAGCATGAAAATATTGATATAATGTTAAACTTACAATTGTTATCGCATATTTACCTTTACAAAATATACTTTAGCACTATTGTTATGAAGCAAATTTATATTTCACAAATAAATTTATATATTACTATACTATGCAAAGTAATCCAATTGTTACTATATATGTTTAGATTATATAAATAAATCTAAACTAATCTCATATTTTTTTTAGTTGTTGATTTTGCAACTCAATTGCTTCAACTTTCATTGTTTCTTTTCTAAGTTTTATAAATAAAATCATATTTCTTTCTTTTAGTTTATATTTATAGAAATTGTATTTAATTGAACTTCATTTTTTATCTGTATTAGATTTTATTTTTACTATCTAGTGCTTGGATCCGTTCAAAAAATCCGGTGGATTTTCTATTAGATATCCGTTCATATCGGATAATGAAAATATATTTGCAGATAGTCGGATATCTATTAAACTATCTAAATAATAATGATGCATGAATAAATAATATATTTGATACGTAACATATAACTTTGATTAGAGATTTTTTTTGAATATCTATTAAACTATCTGATCCTTCGATATATTAATATTTTGGCATGAATAAATGACATATTTTATACGTAACATTGAATAGAGAGAGAATTCTTTCTTATAAATGACATATTTTATACGTAACATTGAATAGAGAGAGAATTCTTTCTTATGAATGACATATTTTATACGTAACATTGAATAGAGAGAGAATTCTTTCTTATAAATTCGTATTTTATCTTAAGTCAAAAAATTTTTTTATACAACTTATTCAAAATCGTAATATCGTAATAATGGACAGTCAAGATTATTTATCTAGCGAAACCTCAAGCAAAATTTCTCTGAGTTGCTTGAACAATAATATTTTTACTATTAATATTAATAATGTTGTCACTACACATGCGGTTAATAATACACATGCGGTTGATCAAAAAAATCCTATTTCGTCTCTATTAGAACAAATTAAAATTTTTATATGCAAGAGTAAATCTAATTTAGGTAGTTATGTTTCTTATAATTTTGTCTCTTCAAAAAAGATATCAAAAATTTTGTCTTTTAAATAAAATAGATCAAAAACAATTTGGTCTTCAAATTTTAATTTCAGGTTTTAGACCCCAAAATAATTTCATTAGCATGTATAGTAGTGGATGATACACATGCAGTAGATGATACACATATAATAGATGATACACATGCAAAAGATAATACACATATAGTAGATATACAAATATGGTGAATGATACAAATGTGGTAAATGTGATAGACAATAATCAATTAAAAAAAGAGAAGGTTCAAAGAAAGAAGTTGAGTATGGGATTACTATATAATCTTACCTACTAAATATGGATCAAAAGGTTGATATAATGAGTTGACAAAAGAAGGCTCAAAATATAATCATATTATCAAAACAGATAGAAGTACTGGAAATTTTAACTATCATCTTCAAAATATATATAAAGTTACAAAATTTAGTAAATTGATATTGAATATTTCTTATCTGTCATTTGATAAAATGTTTTATTAACAGTTGAAAAATAATATTAAATATAAGAAGCAAGTATATACTATAATATTATATATATTTTCTGCTATATCATCTTTTAAAAAATTGTTTAATATTACATATGATATTCAAGTTAATATAAATCTCAACAACTTTAATACAGTTTTTGATAATGATCAAGAGTTTCAAGAAGAGATTGATCTTATAAATGAACCTAAAGTACTTGATGTTGAATCTGAAACAAAAATTAACAAAATCAAAATTAATATTCTACAAATTTGTAATAAAATAGTTAAAAATATAAAAATCGCATTATTTAATACTTTAAATTATTATTGGGAATATCCAATTTATGAAGCTTTTCTTGCAATACTTCTTGATTCAAGAACCAAAAAAATAGAATTTGCAATTAATTTTTAACAACTTAAGACTGAAGCCTATTTGATATTTGAATATAAAATATTTAAAGAACAAGAACCAATACTAACTGATATGAAGCAAATAGATAATAGTCTTGAGGAGAAAGAAAATGTGTTACTAGCTACAATATATGAGTCTATTCAAAATCAAATAATAATGAAATTTATACCTATCTTGTATTACCAAGAATTTCAAGTACTCAATGTTTTTTAAAATGGTAGAATAGTCAACAATCAAATTTTTTTACATTAAATAAAATAGCACAAAATTATTTATGTATCCTGACTATATCTACACCAAGTGAATGCCTCTTTAGTGATGCTAAAATCTTATAACAGCAAAGCATACTTGTTTAAATTCAGATTTATTTAAACATATACTATTTCTTAAAAGAAATGCTAATTGCGCTAATACAATATTTCTTTAAAATTTAGTATTATAAAATATTATATTTATTAGCATTATTTGCAAAATTATATTACTATATATATGCATTAATAATATTAATAAAATTTATATTCTGATTGCAACTAGCTTTATTAGAATAATTCTTATAATAAAAATTCGTTAAGTTTGACAAAAATTTTTTACATATTTAGATTGTTATAAAAAACTCATTATATCTAGAATCGATATATTTTTGATTAATTTAATAGATTTAACTAAATAATTTACAAATAGATATTTAAAATTTGCAACTATCTAAAAAATAGACTAAATAGATAACTATAACCTACCAGATCCAAGCTCTATTACTATCATTTTATCTGTAACTTGGTTATTAATATTATGATACAATTTTTTTTATTTGATTTTTGTTTAAATTTATTTTTTAAACCTTGTAACTATAATTAAAATTAAATTATATAATATAGAAGTATATAATAAAATAATAATAATAATAATAATTACCTTTATAATTAATTCAATTTGTTTTTTTTGACCTTGTTTTTATTATTTTATTAATATTGTATATCTGAATTACTGTATTATAGATCACTTTAACTTTAATATTTTTATTATATTATTTCCTACTAAAAAAATTAATTAATTAATATGGTAGCTAAAACTAAAATTAGGCTTTTATTTAAATCTATAATATTTACTAAAATTTACTTCTATTTTTTATTAATAAAACTACTTCTAAATTCTAATCTAACTTTAAAAAACAAACTAACAAAAAAACTTTAAAAATTTTAAAAATTTAATATTAAAATATTTTAAAACTTTAGCCTTAGCCAATCTCAACTTTTAATATTACAACAATTATAAAAATAATATATATAATAATAATAATAATTAATATTTAAATAAATGATTTGAATAAATTACTATAAAATTATTAATATTAATTTTAATTAGTTTTTTTTTTGTTAATTAAAGTATATAATGTTTTTGCTAAATTTGTATTATTTTTATTTTTTTTCAAATATAGTATTCTATTCTTGATATATTTATAATTTTTTTTTTTTTTTGGTGTTAAGGTGGCCTCTTGGCCGGCTCCTTTTATTCGGTTATAGTTAACTTTTTACAATAT